GTGTTTTTTAAGTTCTTGAAACTACTGATTTGATAAACTGCTTCAGAAAGATTTTTACACTCTTTTCTTCAGCCTGTCTTCCCACATAGACAGCTTTGCAATTTTACTCTTAACAGTTGTTGGTTTTATTATTTGTAGCTTTGCTGAAAAATGAGAGGAAGCAATAGTTTTTCCTTTTAACATCCAGCATCCTCATTTGCTAACTAACCTGGCTTATCCTAGTCTTTGCTTTCCTGTCTATTGGATTTGCAGATTGTCTGTGGTCGTGCTGCATTGGTAGGTCTTAGTTTTCCAAAGGAATAAAGGGAAAAGGTAGCCTTTGTCTTGCTTAATACAGGCAGGCCCCAACTTTCATACACAACACATCGCTAGCAGTTTATATTAAAATCGAATGTATACAGATCAAAGCATAGAATTGCATGTTACACAGGAGGCAAAATTGAATTAGCAAGGAGGTGGGTCATACACTGAAAAACCCATGCATTTATTTTACCCTTGATACCATTTGTTCATTGTTTAAATCGTTATACTCCCATGACACTCCTGAGTGTGTTAAGTCAAGGGATGCTTAAGAAGAAAGAAATGATGAGAGACACAGCAATGAAATGGATGCAATGGAAAACAAATTCAGTGATCCCACAACACCGAGGACCACAAGAAATATGACACCCAGACCACTGGCGTCCCGTTGATGGTGCCCGCCGTGGTGACGTGTGTTCATCCTCTTTCTCCATTGTCTGTCTCACATTTGGACCAACTTGCTGTTCCTTGACAGATCTGTGTTGTTTCACAGTGCTGGCTCTCTGCGCATACCCTTCCCTCCACCTCAAATGTCCCCCGACGCCATTTTGCCGTAAGTCAGAATCTACTCAAGATTCAGCCCAGCTGAACCTGACTAGTCCCTCCTTTCTATGCTCATGAGATGATGAGCAGCTTATGATATATTATCTCTGTTGCTTCTGCTTATTCATGTGACTCTAACCATACCCCACCTGCAAACCCCTTTCAGTAGAGTTACAGTACTTGGAACACAGTGCTCTGTAACCAGGAAGAAAGGAAGTAGGAAGAGAGGATGAATGCACATTTGAATTTCACTGCTGTTCTCCTTAGAGCGTTTGGGATATACCATTTGATTCTAAGGGTCTTCTGAGGTTCTTCAGCATAAGAGACAGTAATTGTTTTCAGCATGCTGGTTTAGCATCGGGCACATAACTCTGAAAACAAGAAATCACAACAGGATACAAGCCATCAGTCTTGCACACCTATAATACCTAAGAATGCTAGTCTCATTTAATCACTTTATCCTCCTTTTAACACCAATGGAGAAATGAGGCATTAGAGAAATGAAGAGAGGAATCCACAGGCATGAAACCATTTAGAGCCCAGGTCATAGCTGAATGTCAGCTGCTGGCCTTCTGACTCTGTTCATTAACTCGATTATTCCTGCCTGAACACTCTCTATGAATCCAATGCAGAAAATGTAATAGAATGGCCTATAAATCAAAAATATCGGGGGAGAAAATGGCTAGGATTTTCTAACTTTCTGTCAATGGCTCTGTAAGTTAAAGGTGTTTTTAAATCAAAAATATCGGGGGAGAAAATGGCTAGGATTTTCTAACTTTCTGTCAATGGCTCTGTAAGTTAAAGGTGTTTTTCTTTCCAACATAATTTGGTTTGCAAATCACATCAGGTCAACAACTCATACTATAACTGGAAACCTATCTGACTTCAAGAGGGCCTTAAGCCCATCTTTCTGTCCCTATTGGCCTGGCTCCTGTCCTAATTCTGGTCTGCAGGCTCCAGGTTAAGAAAACAGGAATACAAATGACCTTTGAGGGAAAAAGGAAATGAATGTGACAATTGGCATTCAGCCCACAAAAGCCAAACAGCATTAAGAGTGATTCACTCGCTGACACTTCCCTCTTGCTCACTGATTCTGAAGCCCTTTGGAAAATAGGCTAGAGAAAGCATCGTGGCTTCCCTTGGTACAACTGCAGAGCATTGGAAAGCTCATTTCCTGTTCCATGGAGACATGTTCTAGCAGAAAAACGATCATTTGAAAAATTGTTTTGGAACAGCAGATTGTCACTACAAATAGAAAATAAAACACCATTTTACCTTCTGTCTTACTGTGTTTTTACTTCCTTTTCCTACTAAAAAGCCATCTTGTTTGGATTTGTGCACTGCTTTCTAGAAATTCATTTTGTAAAATGGCTGCTTTGTGTACATATTACTAGTATTCTTTCCCCTATTTTTCAGCTAATTTTATGTTGTCTGCTATGTTTTTTTTTGTGTTTCTCCAAGACAGGAACATTTTAATTTGTATTTGGGGGAGCTTCCCAGCAAGTGTCAATTACTTCTGAGAAGCTAAACACTTGATTTATGGGAGCATTGGAATATTCTCTATTGCTTTATCACACATTCCTTTCCACGTCATAGAGACTAAGATTTCAAGTCAGGTGACTTGGAGCAGCCTCCTCGTTAATAGAAGAAGGGGAGCAGTATTTGGAAGTCTACATCTACTGAAAGTTCTTGAAGTGTTTTCTTTCCTCAGCCACAAGCCGTTAATTATGACTACCACAGCCATAAGGAATCATTTGAGGAGGAAGGCCACAGGAAAACATATGCCCTTTCCTGCTGGCCCAGTGAGACAGATGCAAAGAGAGGAGGTGAAGAAAGATACTGTTCATCCTGTGGCAACCAGAGATCTGTTTTGCCTATTCGAAATCCTCCGAGTAAACATTTTCTCAGAACCTAATTTTTTTAATTGTAAAGATACTGTACACAGTGATTACATGAGTTAGGTAAAGTACCTTTCCTATCAAGCCTTATTACCCCCTCCTTTGTTTTTTTTCACTGCTATCCCATTCCTTTCCACCTTTCCACCTCCCTCCCCCCACTACCGAAGTTGTAAAGTTTGTTTTCAACAAAGTGTCTTGGACATCTCATTATTACCATTGTTTCAGCATTTTGTTGTTTCCCTTCCCCTCTCCAAATTAGAAAAATGTATATACAAGATGCAGGGCACCAGAATCCAAATACAGTGAAAGCAGGGTTTATACCATGGGGGAAGAATGTGCAAAAGAAGCAAAAAAAAAAAAAATCACATAGTACATTAAAAACAAAGAAAAAATCTCTATGTCCCTATCTTAGAGTTCATTTCGCTTAGCATCATCTTATATGGTCATATGTACATGGCTTTTGACCTTTTCTGCTTGTTTGGTAAGATTATCCTAGACATATACTTGTTACTGCAAGTAAGGGAAACCATGGGACCTATGTTTCTTTGGGTCTGGCTTACTTCACTTAACATAATTTTTTCCAAGTCTTTCCATTTCCAAATAAATAAAGCGGTGTCATTCTTTCTGATGGAGGCATAGAATTCATATGTGTATGTGAATTATATATATATATATATATATACATATACATATATACTAATTTCACATTTTCTTGATCCATTTATCTACTGAGGGGCATATGGGTTGATTTCATATTTTAGCTATGGTGAATAATGCTGTGATAAACATGGTTGTGCTGATAGCTTTAGTATGGTCTTGTTTGTGATCATTTGTCAGAATCCAATTCTTTATTCAACAGATCCATTAAGGCTCACTTACACTGGACCTGGCTATATGCTAGGTGCTCTGGGTATCATGCTGAACAGGGCTGGGGGCTGGGGGGGGAGGAGGGGTGGTCCTGCCTTCATGGCAGAAACAATCCAATAGAAAGAATGAGATGAGATCAAAAGAAAGACTAGAAAGATAGAAGAAGAGAATAAATGAAATATTTTACATTTCTAGTTGAAAAAATATTTTAAAGTACTCAAGGAAGAAGACTTCATCTAAAGGAGAATAGCAAACTCAAGGAGATCTTCTTTAAGCTGAGACTTAAAGAAAGGGCAATGGCAAGGAACACAGGAGTAGAGAAAGGAATGTTAATGCATATGTATTAGTGACCCAAGCAGAATCAAGATTGATGAGCACATCCCTCTGTCCCTCTGGTCTCTGCTTTGTGTCCCATGGACAGCAACATGACAGTTCCCAGTGCAAAAGCTGGAGAGATCTATCTGAAGACACTAGAGTTGTAAGCAAAGTCCTGATTTTCTTTCTTTTCTTAGGTAGAGTAGGCTCACCAATGTTCATTCTCAACCAAAGTACATCCACAGCCTGTAGGTTAGCTGTGCAATTTCCTGAGGTGAAGCAGGATGTTTTGTGCTACCGAGGCTGGAGATGAGGAGAAAGGAGGATTGGTAGGACCTGTTTGATGGCTTCTTACAGGCATGAGCTAGAGCGTTCTCAGTAATAGAATTAGGTGAAGGCAGGTATAGGAGGGATGATGGTGAGAACAGGAATGGGCTTTGCTCACCCCCATGAGTCAAACAACTGAGCAATTAGTTATTCAGACTATTTCCCAAATGTAAATCCTTCCTAAGAGACATGGTAAACTCTGTTGTGTTCAGAGGCATGGAGAACTCCTATTTTTAGCCAGATTCTGAGGGAGAGAGAGAGGTGGCTTGTCAGAGAGCGCCCTCCACGGGGATCCAAGATGCCCCATTCCAGGAAGCCAGGCCATTGCTTTGCCTGAATCAATACAGATACCCTGTGGGAATGGCCACCACCGAGACAGATTGTGCCAGCAGGCTCTCTTCCACTCTGCCCCAACATCTGCAACAGCTTGCGAGGTAACATTTATTATTTATGCATTATCCCAGCCTACAGATGTGTTTCCTGAGGCTCAGAGTTTCTGTGACTCATCCAAGTCTCACAGGTGCAATGAAACTTCAATTCCTCACACCTCCGTACACAGATTTTCTGACACCAAAAACACCCACTGGGAGGGTTCCTTGTGTGACTGACTCCCTTTCTCTGGCATGGAGAAGAAAGCAAGGTTCATGAGACCTGACTCCTGAGAGCCTGGCATCACGGTGAAGAGGGGAAGGGTGTGGAGGTCCAGTGACAAGGACTCAGATGACCCCTTTGCTTTTGGTCTCTATGTAGTGCTCTCGAAACTGCAGTGGAGGCTTCAAGATCCGAGAGATTCAGTGCATGGACAGCCGAGACCACCGGAACCTGAGGCCGTTCCACTGCCAGTTCCTGGCCGGCATTCCTCCCCCACTGAGTATGAGCTGCAACCTGGAGCCCTGTGAAGAGTGGCAGGTGGAGCCCTGGAGTCAGGTATAGTCCCTGGGAATAGACTAACCTTACCAGGCAAGACGGCAGACTGAATTGCGCGGTGCCTTGTAAGTGTACAAGTCAGGGATGACCATACCTGCATCCTGCCAGTGATTTGCCTCCATTCAGTGACCTCGTCACATATGGAGGAAGCTGCTCAAGTGAAACACATTAGGAGCTTCAAGAGTTCCATTGAGATGATGGTTTGTATGGTGTGGTTTTGACTTTCACAAGGAAATGTTTTGACACAGACTAGTCTCATAGTGGATATACTGGGTAATTGGGGTCCTGCTGAGGGAATGAAAACAACGGAAAGGTTTGAACAAAGACCACAATGATGAGAATCTGCCTGTCCGAGGAGTCTATAGTTGGTCAGGGATAATAGTCAGGTCCTTTCCACGCAGTATAGTTTTAGTTTCATCTCTGAATTAAATGTCCAGTTCATCATTTGCCCAAGTAAAAAAGAAGTATGTATGTCTCTCTTTTGTGAAGCCTCTCACTTTGCTGGCCTTGATTTCATTTTGGCACATGAAAACAAGGTTATTATTCTTTGGAAAAGTATGCTGATTTCATTTTGCAATAGATAAATGCATCACTGGCTAGAAAATATCTCAACAATATCTATGTGTCACAGAAATATGAGAAAACAAAATACTATACCATATTTGAATGTACCCAAAAGGTAGACACTTTATGTACAATATCTAATTTAATATTTGATTTAATCTAATATTTGATTTAATGAACTGAATAGTAGGCTTATCAATTCCATTATAGAAGAAGAAATTAAGACTAAGAGAGGCTGAGAAAGTTATTTGAGGTTACGCAACTGGAAGATAAATGATGAAGTATGAATTCAAACACCAAATAGACTCCAAGGTCTATGCCCTTTCCACTACAGATCTTAGCCCAATGGGGCTTAAAGAGCAAAGTGAGGAGAAAGATGAACTGATAGTACCCCAGGGTCACCTACCATGTGCCAGGAAGGGGTGGCTACAGAGGATACAGAGTTATGTCAGAGGCTGTGGAAAACTGAGTCTCCTTGAACCACTTACTAGGTCAAGCACCCATTGGATTCCTGGGGTGTCTCTAGGCCACTACTTGGTGTTTTCTTTCTTTTATTGGTCAGTCATGGGGCTTGAACTCAGAGCCTGGTCTCTGTCCCCAAGCTCTTTTTGCTCAAGGCTAGTGTTCTACCACTTTGAGCCACAGCACCACTTCTGGCTTTCTGGTGGTTAACTGGAGATAAGAGAACTGTGATTCTCAGATCTCCGCCTCCTGAGTAGCTGGGATTACAGGCGTAAACTACAGGCACCCAGCCTACTTGGTGTTTTCTGAAGCAACTGCCACCATTGTCCCTCTTCCTTCTTTCCCCTGCCCTACTTTGAGCAGTGCTTTACCGTATTTCCTAGGTGTTACAAAATATGTGTGTACATATGTAAGTGCACAGTTATAAAACACATCGAATAAGTGGGGGAAAATGCACATTGTTACTCAAAGCTGGAAGACTGTGAGGGCAATATTTTCATTCTTTTACTGACTATAACAAGACTAACTGTATAGAATTTCCATGTTTTCTATTGTGCCAGCAGACCTCAGTGCCTGATGTGACAGGCATAGAATTAACAAGACATCCATGATATTTTATTGTCCTTATTGTTGTAACCATGCCATAAGTAAAAATTTTCAAAGAATTGTCCAAGAATCCAAAATAGTTTTCAAGCTGAGCACCAGTGGCTCATGCCTTTAATCTCAGGAAACTGAGATCAGAGGATTATGATTCGAAGCCAGCTCAGGCACAAAAGTCCAAGTAATCACCAAAAAGGCAGGAGAGGAATTGTGGCTCAAGTGGTAGAGTACTAACCTTGAGCTAAAAAGCTCAAGGCCAGCATCCAAGCCATCGGTTCAAGCCCCAGGACTAGTATTCTCTCTCTCTCTCTCTCTCTCTCTCACACACACACACACACACACACACACACATACACATACACACACTTTAAAAAATTCTTCATGAATTATTTAAGTTCTACTCATACATGACATAATATAGCTTATCAAATTATTCTAGTTAGAAAAATGTTAACATGCTTTGGCAATAGATCCCTGAAGAAAAAGTTTTCCATCTTGCGTTTCTTTTGTGACATTTGCAACCTCTTCATCAAAAGTCTGAGAAATTCCAACAGGTTCACTCTTCCTAAAGTAGATAGGTTTCATGCCAAAACACATTTTTAATAGATATCTAACAGAATCATATTGTGAAATCATATTTTAAATCATTATAAATACATCAAAATTTTTGCATTTGGGATTCTAGATGCTTCTTCCAGGAGGCAAAATGCAGGTAAAATGAGTCCCTTCTGGAAAATAAAAACAACTCATTGAGTTTTTAGCCAGAATTCTTTCCTTGAACATGTTATTGTACAGTGAGCTGTTAGGCAACTTTTGATTTTTCTCTTCCTTTTGTCCTCGGGATTTCCATGGCCAGCCTCTCTCCCACTCTTTAATTCTTGTTTCACTTTTATTCTGTAAACAACTCGTGTTGTCGTTGTAGGAAATCTCTAAAAATGCTTCAGGTGCCAATACAGATATTGATTTTTCTGCTAATACACAACAAAATTGATAGCACTTAGATGAACATATTACATTATAACCCCCCCATACAACCTTTTGAAGTTCAGAAAAAAGGTCCATCATATGTATGTCGTGTATGTTGTAGATATAAGAAGGAAGCTCCTTTGTCCAACTCATTGATACTAATACATTTATTTTGCAAAAAAATTCCATCTGTGTCATTGGGCATGCATCACCTGATTTCCTCCTAATCTCATTGTGTATCAGTGTTCCAGGTCCTGTGGAGGTGGGATTCAGGAGAGGAAGGTGTCTTGTCCAGGAAGCCTCTGTGACTGGACCAAAAGGCCACTGTCCACTGTCCCCTGCAATAGTCACCTTTGTTGTCACTGGGCCACTGGGAACTGGAACTTGGTAAGCATTGGCTCTAGACACCTTGGTTTATTTTTTAGCTTTAGAAGAGAAAGTCACATCCATGGCTTTAAGTTATAAAAGTTGCATGCATTTACTGCAAATGTTCATATACTCAACTGATGTCCAGTGTGCTTCCATGTACTTCTATTTTCATCCTTTCTCCCAGATCTTCTAGACCTGCTGATAGTTGCCTCATAGCTGCTGAAGGTCAGTGCTCACTGCCTCAAGTTCAGAAGAGAAAAGATCAAATGCTTTCAAATAAGAACATATCAAATACGATACTCCATAGGCAAAACTCTAAGGATGAGTTCATTTGGAGCCTACCTCTTGGCTTTTTGGGTTTTTCCTAGAGCCAGGAGGAATAACCTCAAACTTTAGGCTTATTTGCACTTAGTGAATGTTAGGTTTCTTGTCTATCCACAGCAGTTTGTTAGATGGCCAGCCTAAATGATGAAGATCAAAGTTTGTTTACTGCATAAGAGACACTGCTGCGTTGGTGGCACTGAAAACAAAAAGCTAGAAAGCTAGATTCAGCCATCCTTTTAATTTGTGTCTTAGTTTTCCAGGAGAAACTCAACCCTTCATTAGAAAAGATAATGCTAGGGAAGCAGAAAAACTTAAAAAAAAGAGGAAGAGGAGTCAGCTTTCAAGTGGTATTTTAGCATAATTATGGTGTTAGGGGAACTGATTGCTAGCTTCCAAAGGCAGGTTTTCTATAAGCTATATGAACTACTACCTTTTCTAGCAGTTATCTAGGGATGGGAAGAGATACCAGACATCCACTAGCTCCTGAACACCTTTTTTTTTTATTGTGAAAATACTGTACAGAGGGGTTATAATTACATGGGCAAGATAGTGAGGGGGGGGGCAGGGGAGGATGGAATGGGAAGGGTAAACAAAGGAGGAGGCTACAATGCTTGATAAGAAATGTACTCATTATCTTGTCCTGAACACCTTTTGTGTAAAGAGTCTCTCCTTGTGGGGTGCAGTGGCTCATGTCTGTAATCCTAGCTACTCAGGAGGCTGAGATCTGAGGATCACAGTTCAAAGCCAGCCTGGGGAGGAAAGATCTTGAGATCTTATCTCCAATAAACCACCAGAAAACCAGAAGTGGTGCTGTGGCTCAAGTGGTAGAGTGCTAGCCTTGGGCTGAAGAGCCAGGGGCAGCGCCCAGGCCCCAGAGTTCAAGCCTCATGGCTGAAAAAAAATCTCTCTCCTTGAAGGAGCAGTATTCATATCCTTCTGTGCATGTCTACATTTGTGTGCATATGAGTGGGCCCTGAACAGGCTGCACCATATCTTGGGTATAACTGGTAACAAGAAAGTCCAGAGTCAGGAGGTACGAGGAATGTGGTGTAGCCTGAGGGTCTGACCACTGCATTGTGCTTCTATGAAGTTGGGTGCCACATTAGCTGGCACAAATAATAGGACTCGGAGCTAGGAAACAGGAACCACAAGAATTTAATACACTACCCCTTAACAATGAATGCTTTTTTAACCTAATAATCCATTCTGTATGAGTATGTTTATTTTGAGCAAAAACTTACAGCATTTTCTTCGGGTTTCCTTTTAAGTACCTAATTGCCTGTCGGTGTGCTCCATGGATATGAGAACAGCATACATTTTTGTTGTTATAAACAAAGTAATGAAAGGTATCAAGTGAAGTGAATGCATGCGTGTATATATAAATTTTGTTTTTGGTGTTCTTAGGATATATAGGAATTTAAAAATACTTTTAATAGTATGTCTTAATAGAATGGGAGATACTCTGAAATATTTTCATACATGCATACATTGTACCCTATCCAGCAACACATTTTCTTCTTGACTGGTACAGGGTATGTTTCATCAGCAAGAAATTAGAACCAAGATTACTTGATTACACAAAGAATACTTAGGGTCAGTTTTCTGCCAATATTTTAAAGGTCACATGTGAACTTACAGGCCTCTAATATAAGACTGCCCCAGTATGAGAAATTGCCCATTAAATGAAATAATCAGAACTTCCTGAATTTACCTTAACTCTGTAGTTTTTCAGCAATCCATACTTCAAGTTCACCTCCATCCCAAATAGGATGAACCAGGCCTAATTTTGGACACTTCATTCATCAAATTTCATCAGGCTAATTGATAATGACTTGCTTAACCACAGCCCCTTTTTTATGTCTATCTTCAGGTACCTGTTAAATAGTCATCTAATTAATATTCACCATTTCCAGCAAAGTTTGAGTGCTATAGTCCATGTATCAGCTTCAAAAAGTAGTTACTAGAGGCTGAGAATGGCTCAGTGGTAGAGTGCTTGTCTTGCGTGTATGAGGCCCTGGTTCGATTCCTCAGCACCACATAAACAGAAAAAAAAAAGCCAGAAGTGGTGTGGTGGCTCAAACGGTAGAGCATTAGCCTTGACCTGAAGAGCTCAGGAACAGTGCCCACGACAACAACAACAATAACAAAAAAGTAGTTACTAACCTAAGAGTAGCTCACAGCTCCAAGGAAGCAAGGGCCTTCTTCACATCAAGACCCTAGCAGGAGGAGGCGCTGATCACTCCAGACAGGCCTTGGATCCCACTGCCTGGACTCTTCATTAAATACTTTGGAATCCCATCCAACAGTAATGTATTTCATCAGTAATAGAATCAAATAAGAACACTAGGCAAGAAAATTCTGTATAATGTGAAGAATCATAAAAATGCTGTAGGTAGCTGGACATTAGTGACTCACCCCTGTAATCCTAGCTACTCAAGAGGCTAAGATCTGAGGATCCTGGTTTGAAGCCAGCCCCAGCAGGAAACTCTGTGAGATTCTTATCTCTAACAAACTACTCAAGAAAGCCAGAAGTCGCGTGTGATTCGAGTAGTTGAGCACTCTCCTTGAGCAAAAGAAGCTAAGGGACAGCATCCAGACTGGCAAAATAATAAATAAATAAAAATGCTGCAAGTCTGAGCCCTTCATGGGAGAAGAAAATCTCATGGAAGATTAAAATCTACAAATGAAGGCTTAGTTTCAATTCCCTAAACAAGCTAGAAGTGCTGTCTGCAACACAGAAGGTGGACACGTGTTGCCGTTTTCTTTATACAGCCATGTGGTAGATATTAATAATTGTGTACATTGCAGGGTAGGGGAATGGAATGTGGCTAACATCAAGCAAACCAGACTTGGAAATCAAACTGAGAATATACATATACATACACATTTGCCTCTCTGCCTCTATTCCCGAACTCCCTAAACAGGGAGAAGGAACAAAACTGAAAATGACAAAGATGAGAGAAGATAAGAGGAGAGAGAGAGAGAGAGAGAGAGAGAGAGAGAGAGAGAGAGAGAGAGAGAGAGAGAGAGAGAGATCGGTAAAACTTTCTAGCTTTTAGCTAACAGCTAAAAGCTGCCTGTCTCAGGATGCTCCAGAGTAGTCAGATTTCCCTCATACTCCTGGGGGCAGGAGTGAGTAAGGGTAGGCATTTTGATAGAACTTTTTAGAGAACCAGTAGATCTTTAGATTCTCTGGTGTATTCCAACAACAGCCAGCAGGTATAATCTGTGAAGAGGTTAATCGAAAGAGACCCTAAAAATCAAGCACAGTTGATGGAACAAAGGCTCATCTCTTGGATAATTAAGCTTAAAACATCTTCTAACCATCAGGGTAATGGTTTTCTTCCTTCAGAGAGCTCCACAAAGGTAGGCTGGTTTAGAATAGATCTCGTCCTAATTCCCTCAATGAAGACACGTCTTAATAGCTGCCATCCAGTGTCTCCAATAAAATCCCAGGTACCTCATTCTAAACTATAAAGAAAGAGGTATTTGATAAAGTCCTCACATACCTGGAATGGTTGTAAATCCCTGCAATATGAGCTTTCAAAAGTGTGAAACAGGAAGATTACAGATTCAAGATTAGCATGGGTTACATAGTGAGTTCAAGGTGAGCTGGAGTTACATAGTAAGACTACATCTCAAGAAAACAAACAAAAAATGAAAATAGCACACAAAAACTAAATAAAATAAATTGTAAAGGGACCCAGAGGAGATGGAGATCATGTAGTAAGTAGATGAATTCCTCCCAAGAAACTAGTCTCTTCAGAGAAACAAGTAACTATATTCATTATGTGAGAACAAGAAGCTAAGGAAAAAGAATGCTAAAGAATGGAAAGAGACCTTAGATAAACTTCTAAATAGCAAAAGTTAAAAAAAGTAAAAGGATTAGGAACCAGAAAAGTAACCTTATTTCATGCATGATTATTGTAGGATTGAATTAAGAATATTTCCTGTGTGCATAAAACATGATCTGCCATGTATTAATGATAAGTGAAAGAAAATTGTTCAATGAACATGTTGGCATTCATTTATAAAACATCAAATCATTTCTCTTCTTTATATGTCTCCATTTGATCTGTGATTGAGTGGTCTTCAGATGCTTCTTTTGCAGCTTCTCCCACTGCAAATGTTTTGTGAGGATCAGTGTTTCCAAATAAGGCAGATTAAGCTGGAGAGAATCCTTGTGGGATTTTTAATTTTCATTATCTTTAAAGTAGTGGTACGGAGGGGTCATCACTCAACACATCAATTTGTAAAGCACAATACATCTTGATCAATGTCACTTCTTTCATCATTCTCTCCCATCCTTCCCAAATCTATCGTGGTGTAGTTTTTACAAACAAAACATCAAAGCCACTGTAGGGTTCAATTTAGAGTGACAGCAATTCTGTAAGTCAGTAGTCCTAGCTAGTTCACAATCAGATTTAGATCCCTGAATACTCCTATTTGAGGTATAAGTTCTGCGAGGCTTTTGTTGGTTTCAAAGGAGTAGATGAATAGATTAACTGATATATAGTTATCATATGAGCTCTGAGATATAAATGGTTGTATTGATTGATATAGAAATATCATAGTATATTATATTTATATGACATATATCATATATATATATATATATATATATCAGGCACTTCATTCTAAGCTATAAAAGAAAGAGCCTGAGGTCACCAGGATTGCCAGACATTTGATAAAATGTCATATACCTGGCACTGTTGTGTATGTCTGCAATATAAGCTCTTAGGATCCAGAAACAGGAAGATTACAAATTCAAGATTAGCATGGGTTACATAGTGAGTTCTAGATGTGCTAGGTATATACATATGTGTGTATGATATATACAATATATGTACACATATATGTGTATATATGAGATGTATATATATGAGATAGATGCACTTATGAGATATATATCATGTAAATCTTAAGCCTCTAAACCTTCAGTCTTACAACAGTGCAAGGATTAAAAACAAAAAAAAATCAATCAATGGGTAAACAAGCTAAATAGAGCATTCTCAGAAGAAATAAAAATAGCTGATTGATGTGAAGAAATACCACATCTCTGGCCATGAAGAAAGTGCAAAGAAAAAAAAAACCCATTTAGAATTGCCATTATCAAGAATACAAACAATACAGATACTAGTGTGGGTATTGGCAAAAAGGAACCCTAATACACCATTGGTGGGAATGTAAATTTGTTCAACCGCTCTAGAAAACAGTATGGAGATTCCTTCAAATCTAAACATAGACCTATCCTATGATCCAGAAATTCCACTCTTTGGCATTTATCCAAAAGATTACAAACTGTGATACAGTAAAGCCACCAGCATAACCGTGTTCATTGCAGAAATAATCATCATAGCCAAGGTATGGAATCAATCCAGATGCCCCTCAATGGACAAATAGATCAAGAAAACGTGGTATAAATACATAATGGAATTTTACTTATTTGTTAGAAAGAATAATACTGCATCATTTGCAAAGAAATGGAAGGACATGAAAATTTAATGTTAAGTGAAGTCAGGCCCAGAAAGATAAAATTTCCATGTTTTCTCCAATATGTGGAAGTTATAACTAGATTGTGAATATATAAGTAAATACATGGGGTGATATGCAAGTATATATAAATGTATTAGCTAAAATACAGTAGATTCAAGGGAGAACTCAGTGTAATTCCTTAGAAAGGCTAACTAACAGTCCAACAAAATGAACACAAAGAAATAAGCACTCACATTTGGAAGGAAGTCAAGGAGAGTGAGTTAGAGAGGAGCGGGGAGAATGAAGTCATAATTCAATGCATATACTACAGAACTAAGAAAAATGAGGGTTAGGAGGGATGGGGAGAATGATGAATGGGGTGACATTAATCAAGATACATTCTACTCCTACATTGCTGTATTGAATGGCAACTTTGTACAACTACTTAAAGATAAGAAAAAAATCAGCCACTACTTTTCCTGTTTAATCTCTCAATTAAATTCAAGTTCTTTTATTGGCTGATAAACTCATAAGCAGTTCATTTCTCTCTTATTTTTTGTGTTGCCTTGGAATTAACTTTGTTTCTAATCTTCATGCCCAAGAGGACAAGAAGGACAAACACCCGAAATAAGCCCAGACTGTCTCACCAGTCCCTTAGAAGCAGAAATCTGGAAATTCATCAGTGGATGAATGGACAAAACTATCATAAAAGAGACATTAATAGAAAATTACACCATCTTACAAAGAAAATTTCAACACATTCTACAATATGGATGTAGCTCAAATTCATTATGCTAGTCAAAATGTCAGCCAAAAATGGACAAATACTATATGATTCCATCTCTATGGGGTACCATCAAATTTAAAGAGAAAAAACTGCAATGCTGGTTTCCAAGGATGGGATTGGGAATATAGATGGTGAGCTGTCCTTCAATAGCATTCTTATTGCTCTCTTCCTTTTACTTACTTCTGATCCCCAAATAAAAACCAGTCCATGAGCTAGGTGCTGGTGGCTCACGCCTGTAATCCTAGCTACTCAGGAGGCTGAGATCTGAGGATCCTGGTTCAAAGCCAGCCCCGGCAGGAAAGTCCGTGAAACTCTTATCTCCAATAAACCACTAGAAAACCGGAAGTGGTGCTGTAGCTCAAGTGGTAGAGCGCTCACCTCGAGCTGAAGAGCTGAGGGACAGTGCTCAGGCCCAGAGTTCAAGCCCCACAACCAAAAAAAAAAACAAAAACAAAAACAAAAATACCAGTCCAGGGAAACTGGAGAGTACTAGGGCCCAGGAAATGTAATTTTCTTCTGTTTTCCTTTCAATCTCCATATATTGTACTTCATTCCTATATTCAGGATATGAAGATGAGGGCCAGCTTGGAAATTTTAGTTACAATCAAGGCTGTTAACCATTTCATTCCTATTCCTTTCTAAGCTCTTGTTTCATTCCACTCACATCTTCTATAATCTGATTTTTTCTCTACTTCTCCTGCTTGGTAGGAACTATAACCACCAATGATATTTAAGTTTGTACGATTCACCTTCAGATGGAATTTCTTGCAGTGTCTGAATTGTAGATTCCCAAGGAAGGTACCAACTGAACAACTAGAGTCAGAGGCCCATTCTGGATCCCTCATGTATGGAAGCATGGGTGGTATCCCAATATTGAAACCATGTCATAAGCAAACAGGCCATTCTCACATGAGAAAAGGAGAAGGGTGTTCCTCAAAGAATCCTACACTAGCCTAAATTGAATTCAATCTAACAACCTAAAATATAAGACTCTATACTCACGTTTCCAAGTTATTGGTGCCTCTTTATTCTATGGCTCATTAAACAGATTTCTTGGTAATTGAGATTTTCCATGTTTGACTAGGGTAGAGTTAGACTTCTATCTAACTCTACCCTAGTCAAACATGGAAAATCTTTGCTGGTGATCCTGGGGGAAGACTTCCAACCCTTTGTGTTTCTGGAGGAGAATTCCAATTCTGTGTATCTCCCTCTTACAGTGCAACACTTCTTGTGGAGGTGGATTTCAAAAGAGGACCGTCCATTGTGTCCCTTCAGAGGACAATACAACTGAAGAGTCAGACCAGTGCCTGTGTGATCATGAACCCAGACCTCCAGAATTCCAAAAATGCAACCAGCAAGCCTGCAGAAAGAGTGCTGGTAGGTGAATGCGTTTGTTTAGCTGGGGAGAAGAGTGGTAGCCATTCTGTATAGCTGAACCTGTATAGGTTCATGTCCCTTTTGCTGAAGAGAAAATCTAAGTGCTCCTAAGGCTAGCCCGTGACTTAGAGAACAAGTCTGTTTGCTGAAGTTTAACTAATTCCTTAAGGAATTATTTCAACCACTTTCCTATCTCAGAACATGTTTGCACTGATGTCGTCTCACACAGAGGAGAATTAATTCCATTGTTTTTAGAGATATCTGAGAGATGTTCCAGCTTTTCTTGGGAAACAGCTAAATGTAGGGTGGTCAATAAATCTAAATTTATTGTTTTAAACTGAATTTTACAAAAGCAACTTCTGGGGCAAAGGTATCAGGATCAAACAAAGAAGGACAAATGTTTCATAAAATATTTATGTGATCTTCCTGCCTTGGGTAATTTGCTCTATTGATTGCACTTCTCTTGTCCATAAATGAGTTGGCTTAACCATAGGCCAACCATTCCAATGTATCTTTGGCTCTATTAATCCACAATGAGTTTCTAAATCAAATTGAACACCTGGGGGAAAATTTTTCAGAAAGAATGAGATGTTTTTTGGTAGTTTATTTACAGCATTTATAAAGTAAGGAATACTTCATGGAGAAGTTAGTTTAGTAATTACACTGTGGGGCAGCAACTGAGGATCATGTTGTTCCTGAAAACATAGTTCGTTGGCAGCATGCAATGGTAATATCTTTCAAAAGATTCCTAATGATAAGTAGTGAGAAGTGTGCTTACTTACTTCAGTACACTAAAGACATCCAACAGCGACTTCCCCTGAAGTTAATCCTGAGTTTTCTCCGAGGGGTTGTTTATTTTCAAATCATGAATTCATGCAACATATAATTATTGGACACTTGCTGAATACTAGACACTATGAAACAAGAAACAAAACTACGAACTAGTGTCAGGCAGTATGAGAAAGCAGTAAGGCAGAGCAGGTGTATGAGAGTATTATGAAAGGTATTAAACCTAAAGCTCCAGAGGAGGTCAAAGCTGAGCAGAAAAGTCCAGCAAAAGATTCCAGGAAGAGAAGTTTTTATCTTCCAGAGTAGCCAGGAAGAAGACTGGATGGTCTGTCATATAAATACAGGTACAAGCACAAAACACACAAGAAGAGTTAGGAAATGATATGGTAAAAGAAGCAAGCTGGAGTTAGAGGACAACGAACCATGGGAAGCATACTGATGGACTTGTTAAAGTGGAAAGGAAGAATGAAATATTCCAATTAAGAAAGTGAAGATTAAAAAGTCATTCTGGCTGCAGTTGTTGTAAAGGAACTCAGGTGTGAGAAACAGGAGAAACCACCACTTAAGAAACCTAATTGGGAGTCTTTATTAGAGAGCCAGTGGACTGCTGGCAGACTCTTATCTCAAAGACCAGCAACCATGAATTCAATTAGCACCAAGATTATATAGGCCAAAACCACATAAGGTGTGAGGAAATATCCTAACAAAACTATTATATATAAGCAAAGAAGACCAGATATGAGAGAGAAAGACCAGTTAGCAGACAACTATACCCTGTGCAAAATATATGCATTATATGGCATCAACTAGGCAAATGAATCGACTTAATAGTAGATTCAGAAACTACATAAAAATAAGGAGAAGAAAGCTCAGCCTCCATTTCTGACTTGAACAGCTGAGAAAATGATATAAAGAAAGATCTAAGGATTGTTTTGGGGAGAGAATTCTAGCTAGGGCATTATTTGTTGAGAGATATATGAATCGTCCACAGCAGAGTATTCGTGATTGGTTTGCTATACAAGTTATGAAGCCAGGAAAGAGTTCTGTCTTGGAAATCTTGATTGTAATGTACAGGGAGTGAAAATACTTTAAATGTGGTACCACGTGTAGCTACTCTGTTAAGCATCCTGTGTACTTGAGGATTGCTTTCATTGTCTCAAAAGTGCTATTAGGGGCTGGGAAGATGACTCAGTGGTAGAGTACTTGCCTTGCATGCATGAGGCCCTGGGTTCGATTCCTCAGCATCACATAAGCAGAAAAAGCCGGAAGTAGCGCTGTGGCTCAAGTGGTAGAGCACTAGCCTTGAGCTGAAGAGCTGAGGGACAGTGCCCAGGCCCAGAGTTCAGGCCCCATGACCTACAAAAAAAGAAAAAAGTGCTGTTAGTGTTTAGTCTTCCAAACTCTTGCTACTCAAAGTGTAGTCCCTGGACCAGATGAATTGGTATCTGCTGGGAGCTTGCTAAAAATGCCAGATCTCAGATCTCCCTCTAGACCCACTGCATTGGGATCGACATTTAAACAAAATCTCCTAGTCATTCAGGTGTTCTCTAAATATGAATAGCACTTGTTGTAGACCAAGGAGCCAACCTAACACCTTTGTCTTTCATTTCATCTTATCACCTTCTATGGCACCAAATTTATAAAAACTTAAGACTATTGAATGCCTTCTATGTTATGTTTTTCACATAACCAAAGCAACTACCTGGTTTTAGTTGATCATGCTTAGGTGTTAAGGGTTTTTACTTTAAATTATATGTAGATTGTCTCCAATAATTGTCCTATTGCTGGACAATTAACTTCAGTAATCAAAATTGGGTAAAAGCAAAGATAGTTTTCATCTTGAAATCTCTGAATAAGTACTCACATTTGGCAGGTGATTGATATAAATAACAATGAATTACATTATGACAATTATCAGGGCAACAAAGTTAATTACTAGCTTCCCTTGAAGGCAAAGCCTTCAGACAAAGCTAGATGAAAGAGCTGCAAGAAATTCTTTGATTTGGGAAGCCAACTATTCACCCTGACCATGCACCCTCAAAAATGCTTTGAAAATGAATCATCCAATGGTAACATTGTTGTCAGCTAGCCGTCACAAGAAATACCCCTATTTCCATCATGTAAGATCGGTATGACTTCAAGACACATTGCTTTCCTAATAATCATTTTCCTTCTTTTAGTTACCAGCCAAATATTTAATAACCTAAAGTCTAAATCATAACTACCATTTCCATAGTAGATGTTATAGAATCCTTTGCAAGTGTCTTGAGTAAAAAGCAGAAGCAGAGCAAAACTCCTATATACACATCATTCCTGATTCCTTTTCTTTGTCTTGTTTGTTTATTTAGGAATGGGAGTGGGAAGACAAGAAAAATAGGGAGGATAAGAACTTTGATTCAATTTTGATACAAAGGAATATTTTGAGTCTATGGATTTTTTTTTTTTTGCTAGTCTTGGGAGTTGAACACAGAGCCTGGGCGCTATCCCTGAGCTGCTTTGTGCTCAAGGGCTAGCACTCTACCACTTGAGCCACAGGGCCATTTCTGACTTTTTCTAAGTAGTTTATTGGAGATATAATGGTCTGATTGACTTTTCCGCCCAGGTTGCCTATGAACTGTGATCCTCAGATCTCAGCCTCCTGAGTAGCTAGGATTTTACAGGTGTGAGCCACCAGCACCCAGGCTTTTAAATTTTTTTTATTTTATTGTCATTGCATGGGTGATATACAGAGGTGTTACAGTTATATAAGTCAGGTAATGAGCACGTTTCTTTTTGAATAATCTCACCTCCTCCTCATTTTCTCACAGGTTTTCCCTCTCTACCCCCCTCACACACAAGTTATATAGTGCAACATAGTGTCTCGTGAATTTCACTAATGCATTTGTTCACTTTTTGTCCAACCCTTTCTGTGCTCCCTGTTACCCTGGATTAACTTACCTACAAGACAAAAGGTACAGAAATAAAAAACGGCGACAAAAGAGAAAAAATGAAAATTAAAAACTAAGAATCAAAATAACATAAGACCTCCTGCTTCCATTTCTTAAAATTCATTTCCATAAACATCATTTTATATGCCCATAGCTATTGAGCCTTTGTGATCCTCTCCTAAGAATATCCTCCTGTAGTCTCACTATATGAATGTCTAGAGTACTATATAATACCATGTGTCAAAGTATATTTTTTGCCTTTTAATATCCAGCATGTTTTATTTATGGATTTAAAGGCATTTTCTAGTTCCACAAATGAGGGAAACCATGCAACCTGTGTTTCTCTTAGTCTGACTTAATTTGCTTAATATAATTTTTTCTGAGTCTTTCCATTTCCTTACAAATGATACCACATACACAATGGAATTCTCTGCTTCCATCAGAGTCTTGTTATAAATTTTCTACTGAAGAATTGTTGTACATAAGTACAATTGCATTCATGCATTAATGCAGAAACAATTACTAATACTTATGTACAACTGCATTCATACATTAATGCAGCAACAATTATAATAACTTAATATATCTTAGGTCAGTGGTAAGGGCTAAATATATTATGGGTAAGATACCATTTCTGGTCTCAAGGAGCTCTAAGTCTTATGGAAACTTTTTTTTAACTTTCTTTCATAAGCAAAATATGCTTTCAATCTAGACCCAGGCGTATACAAACAAACAAGTATATAGCCATCCCTTTAAATTTCCAAGTATGGTTTGAATTGAACAGTCAGGGGGAAATTGGGATCTGCTCCTCAAGTTGTCCCTAATCATACTTCAGGGCTGGGATCCACTGGCTGGGCACTACAAGCCTTCATTATTTTACAATACTAAGGAGAACTGGTAGAATTAAGTACCAGCATGATGCTGAACTTGTAATCATTGTCTAAATGAGCTGCTAAACATAGGCCTGGATCACAAACTATCAATACAGGCCACCACCACCTTTCAGGCTTGCTTCTGTGTAAGATGCCCAGACCCAACGGGTTTCCAGGGCCCTGAGAACCTTTGAAAAGCAGTATTCATGATCTCATGGAGATCTGCCAACAGACAGACTTGGTTGTGCCTCTTTTAGTCCCTTAGATGTTCATCTATTCTGAAAAGTGGAGCCACTGTGTTGAGCAAATGCAACTATTTGGGGCAGGGAAGACCTGTTTGTGTGACCTTCTTCTTCTTCATAACCAGTGTAGGAGAATCAGCATCCTGACACCAAAGCTCTAAAGCTCTAAAGACACCTAGACAACATTCAATTCCAGTAGCATCAACTATATACCGGCTATGTGGTGCCAGGCCAGTTCCTAAGCTTCTCTGGAACCCTGCTTTATAAAAGAAGAAAATAAATATACATGAAAACAGAGTTATCTGAGGGTCAATTGGTATGGTATATATCAAACACATTTCCTCGTCCATGGGAAATGCTTAATGAGTCATTGTCATGGAATTATTGTCATGGCCAAAGGAACACATTAATTGATTCATTTTTTCTAGAATTACCCAAACAAAGTACCATAAACTGGGTGGCTTAGTACAACATAAACCTATTCTATCATAGTTTTGTAGTCTAGAATTCTAAGAGTAAGGATCGTCAGATCCATGCTTTGTCTCATAGTGCCTGCCAGCAATTCTTGGCTTTTCTTGGCTTAGAGCCATTTAATTCCAATCTATGTATCATTATGATATAGCCATCTTTCTTCTATATCCTGGCTGACTGTACATGTGCAAGTATATGTGTCTCTTCTCCTCTTCCTCTAGGGACAGCACCAGTCATGTAGGATTATGGGTCCACTACTCCAAAATAACTTAATCTCCATTTATATAATAATTACATCTACCAAAACTGTATTTCTAAATCAGTTTATATTCAAGGTACCAAGGGTTAGGATTCCAACTGTGGGATTACTTAAATTTCAGAGGATATAGTCCAACTCACACAGGGTTAAAGGCTTTAGGGAGTTCCTACAGGCTTTTCTTACAATGACAAACACCTCTCAAATAACAGATCGACTTTTAATGCTGAGCAGAAAATATTCTCCCAACCTTTACAGTCCAAGAAAGAGTATGGTGCCATGTTTCAGCAAGTGGTGCAAAAATAAGACAGATTTAGATATTGAGACAGATCTATGCAAGTCAGCATCACCCAAAGAAGCTCTGTGGAGAAGTGGGAAACCTTCATGTTTCCTCTGATTTCCCCTTTCCTTACAGCAACCCCTGAGAACTCCTATTGTCACAGGAGGGAGAATGTAGACCAAAGACCTACTCTATGTGTACACTTTCTCCATCTACCATTTACAAGGGATTGGGGAAACGTTGGTGAGAAACAGGACCATATGTGACACCTAGGTTTTCATGCCAGGCCCTGGTCCTAAGCCAGAAGCTTGGGGAAGAAACCTTGTTCTGAACCCTATTCACATGACGCATGGCCAAGGACCCATGGAGAATTTCTGCTGCTCTGATAGGGACACTAGGGACAAAAAGCTCAAAAGGACATTTCTCGATAGGAAGGATGGCCAAAACGTATTCCTACTGAAAACAAAGCATGAGAGAAAACTTCCTGCAGAATTTTAGAAAAATGGATGTTTAAAATGAAGGACTTAAAGAAGAATCCTAAAGAAAAGAATCCATGAGAACCACTTAGGTTTGGCATTCTAGCCTCATTTTTCATTACCAGTTCCTAAGTACACTTGAATCTTGCACACAAAATGGAAATATAACAGATGACACTTATTTCTTCACAAAAACAAAAACAAAAAAACAGGACAGTCAAGAAAATGATGACTTCTAAGGAGATATAAAAGCATTTTTTGTCTTCCCAATCTAACGGTGAAAAGAGCACAGAAGCAAAAATCACAGGTTTGGGGTCAATTTCTACTTTACTGACTTCTGTTTGCAAAGTACAGTAGCTGATTTGTGAAAAAGGGGTTTATCTGGGACTATTAAAATATATTCTCTGTAAAGCAAAAAGAAAGCAACCACAGCTCCAAGAGGCACTCAAAGTTTGAAACAATTTCACATTCTGAAAGGAGGAAAAATCTGTGATTTAAACCTAACTGAACTCCCTGTAGGCAAGTACTCTATGGGCTGGTGCATTTGTAGCAGCATTTATAGAAAGCATGAGTGAATGGCCTCTGAGCAATCTATGTTAACTCCCTGATTCACCTATGTTAAAGAGAAGGCCATGAAAATGGGGGTATTTTTGCCTAGAGCTAAAGAAAAATGAGAATTTGAATTCAAGTAATTGAGTTATATTTTGAGGATGGGAATTGCTTGCTCCTGCCTCATGCATTCAGCTACATGGTATAGTCTAGACAGTAGACACCATCATTTATGTATCTGTATCCTTTGCACCGTGCTGAGAAATGCTTGGGTTAACTGGATGATTGGTCAATGGCTTGGCACTCTGAATAGAGTGATGGATAAAAGCATTAGACCTAGAGTAGAATCTGCCTAAGTTCAAAACTGGCCATGCCACACACCAGCTAGATAACATCATGCAATTTATTAGCTACTCTAAATCATACTTTTCTCATTTGTGAAACAGGGGAAGAGTGTTGACCTGCTAATAAATCTATGAAGACAAAGGGAAGGGAAGCCTGGAGCAGGCTGCATTTGTCTATTGCCAAAACAATCTAGCTAAACACCCCGACACTGGGAGTCTTTAACTGTAACCATGCAGTCTTTACTCAAAATGTATAGGTCCACTAATACTTAGCTCAGCTGTTCTAGAATGGCTTTCGGCTGGCTTAGCTCCAAGCTGTTGGGTCTAGGTCTGCTCCACATGTTCCCCTCCCTTTATCCCGTGGTTTCAGAAACTAGGTTCTTTATGGTGATGGAAGATCATCACCTTAGCACATCCTCTAGCACTTTCCAAGGACCTGCAGGGATTGTATCTACTAAGAGCCTTTTGTCCAAAGCAAGCCATAGACATGAACGCAAAATCAAAGAGTGGGGCGATATTCTTCACCCACCATGCAGCTATGCAGAGTGGGAATGTCTTACATGAGCACACAGCAATTAAGAATTTTGACTGGTAAGTCAGCTTAACACAAATATTTTTCAGTGTCTCATATAGAATAATTGCCTATTGGCCATCGTGATTCAGAAGTGCTATGGCTTATTTCATTGTAGATTTATATAGTCTTACAGTAATATAAGTGTGATTGGTTCACCTACAAAAAGTACTCTTTGGGTTTATGTCTCTTTTTCTCTTCCTACAGATATACATTGTACCAAGGACAGGTTGTCGGCCAGTTTCTGCCAGACACTCAAATCCATGAAGAAATGTTCTGTGCCCACGGTGAGGGACCAGTGCTGCTCCTCATGTTCCCAGACACACAGCATCCACATGCAACGGCCAAGAAAACAGCAACTGCTCAAAAAACCCAAACTTCCCTAAGTCTGGAAGAAAGCCACCCTCCACCATAGACTGCCATAGCCTGCTGATTGTGACATGTGTTAGCCCGGAGGCTGCTCCACTGAGGTTTTCTACTTTTTTCAGGTTTAGCTTTGGATTATAGCAGAGTTAAATACACTGTGTCCCTCTAGCCACAAAACATCCCAAGCAGGAGGTCCGGGACTCCCACCCTTGCTGCTCCTCACAGGAAGGTGAAGTGTCCAGGAGTATTCTCCATTAGCTGGAATCAGCAATCGGGAAAGGTGACAGATTAGACAAGTCTGTGTAATGATGTATTTTCCCCTCTTAAAGCTAAAAACAAGAGACCAGATTTTCTCGAGACTACCTCAGGAGAAGCAGGAAACACAGCCACGTTTACCCAGGGAACAAATCATCTTTTGAGTAGATCCTCCCCATTGACCTGAGATAAGGTGCTGTTTAAGATATGGAGATGAGTTAGGAATATGCATCTGTTCTTCACCTCCTGTTCATTGAGGGTAGGATGACACAGCTGGCTATGTCCCTTAAACTATCTTCCTTTTTTATTTTTATTTTTCCGTCAGTTGTGGGGCTTGAACACAAGGCCTGTAATCTGTCCCTGAGCTTTTTTGTGCAAGGCTAGCACTCTACCACTTTGAGTCACAGCCCCCCTTCCAGGGTTTAAGTGGTTAATTGGAGATAAGAGTCTCCTGGCCTTTCTTACCTGGGCTGGCCTCAAACCATGATTCTCAGATCTCAGCCTCCTGAGTAGCTAGCATTACGGGTGTGAGCCACCAGCAACCAGATTCAATCTCACCTTTAATCCCTTCAGTTTTCTACAGCTGGCTTTCTCAGAGTCCTGGATCAATGTAAGATTAATAAGGTGCAAATATCAGCTTCAATCCAAAGGGGTTGAGATCAGTTACACACACACACACACACACACACACACACACACACACACACACACACACACACACACCTCTGATTTGAGAGTAATTTCTTGGAAAATTCTTCAAAATCAAATGAATAGAAGTCAATTTCTTCCTACTACAGAAAGGAAATGTGGGCCTTTATTCTTCCACTTCCCTGGCACTGGCAGGCGAAAAGAGCAAATGTTTATCATTCTCTCTCACACTCAGTCCCCACCTGAGTCATGACCTCAGGTCTCACTCTCAACTTGGGTGTAGGCTGTTTATACACAAAGACCCACTTCACCAGAACCCAGCTGTCACTTGCCTTCATCTCTCTTAGGGAGGAAAATGAGGCTATAGATTAAGCCAATTAAAAATCAAATTATATTAAATATAAGAATTTAGAGTAAATGTATAGTCTAGAAAGAGAGAAAAATAAAAACTCTAAAATGTAAGATGAGTCACTAGGCACCGATAGCTCATGCCTATAATCCTAGCTACTGAGGAGGCTGAGATCTGAGATTGCAGTTCAAAGCCAGTTCAGGCAAGAAAGGCCACAAGACTCTTATCTCCAATTAACCACCAGAAAACCAGAAATGGTGCTGTGGCTCAAAGTGATAGTGCTCTAGTCTTGAGCCCAAAAGCTCAGGGACAATGCCCAGGCCCTGAGTTCAAGCCCCACAACTGACAATAATAAAAAGAGGGAGAGGGAGAGACAGAGACAGAGATAGAGACAGAGGTAGAGAGAGAGGAGAGGGAGAGACAGAGAGAGACAGAGAGAGGGAGGGAGATGAGAATTATCTACTCTGCATACTCGTCAGCTATTGGAGATGTATTTCTGTGGTAGAGCCCATGCTGAGCTGAATTTGATCTCCAGCACTAAATGATGATGTTGATGATGATGATGATGATGATGATGAAGCTATGGAGTAAGTTACCGTGGGGAAACCAGCATGTCAAGAGAGTCCAAAACACTGAAATAGTTTAGCATACTTATTTGCTATGTCCCTACTGCCCAAATAGAATGCGGTCTCAAATTCAGAGCAAATTTCCAGTAAACTTATTTCAAACAAAATGAACCCAGATAGAGAGCATAGGTGGGGAAGGGGAGAAAAGCCTCAAGAGGAAAAAGACTCAGAACAAGGCTTGATTGGGTTGAAGCTAACACATGCCTTCATGTGATGGGCAATGTAATTTTAAACTCATGTACCTATATACTTCATCTTCGCTTTAGATCACAGCGTCCCATATCTCCTTTCAGTTACCTATCTGTTCAGCAGAATGGTGCTATTGAAAAATGGTGCTAATATCTAGATGGTGGCAGAGCTAATATAAACCCATAGTGAGTCCGGCAACTAGAGGTGTGTGAATCTCCACAGAAACATATTCTATTAAGGGTGGGATGGTGTTGCTGGCCAATGCCAGTTCTAGACTTGGATCTCACGAACCTAGCATTTTATATTATTTGCTTGTTAATTTTTTTTACAAACCAATAGTATATAAATTTGATTGATTCCTATGGAAAATAAAACAGTGAGCTTGAGATGAAATTCAAGGTAGAGCAGAAACACAGGAGGAAAGTAGAAATATTAACGTAAAGCCAAGGAATTTATTTCTTAATAATACTTGCATTTTTGTCTTTATCTTTAAGTATATTCATTGCTGGCCAATGATAATCTCTGGTGAAATAACCGATTGTAGACACTTACATAGTTAAGGACATGAGAGGAGGGAGATCTTGAGAGCTCTTGTTTAAATAAGATAATTGACAAAGACTGTGCCTTAAGTATAGTATAGAATTACAGAGGGACTGACATAATTAATCAGACTTATTTAACTTAACCTGGTACTGTACTATCATAGCATCCATACTTTGCATCTGAGACCTGACATGACCAGGCATAGAAAACTCAGGAACAAATCCAATTCCTACTGACCTCAACAAACTAAAACTAAGCCAGAGGTCCCCAATATACAAAATGGAATATTTATAACCCATGTGCTGAACACATGAGGATCTGGCCAGGTGCTTCATTACAGGTATTTCTTCAGTTTCTCAAGGATGGAATATTGATCCCTGAGCCAGCATCATGAACATTCTCTTCCCTTCCTGGAGTTGTTTTATGAGACAGTTTGAGTGACTTTTGTGCTTCTTGCTGTCAGAATCCTGTCAGTCACTCAGCTATGGGTCATCAGTGTTTCCCCATATCCTGTTGCTTTCTTTAACTACTGGTGGGGTTTTTAAAGTAGCAGGAAGATTCTGAATGCAAGAACCTGGACGTGTCTTTATTTCGTTGATGCTCATGGGGCCAATATGAAGCTGAGTTTTTGGTTTACTTTATCCGGGTCCTCATTTCTCCCCATCTTGAAGAAGCAACCAGAAAGTGTTGCCAGAGACACTGGATTCACATATACTGTGAGCCAGAGAGGTTCACCACAGGGCCTGGTGCTTATGTACATCAAGACAGTTTGGTTTACATTGCCTTTCACTGTGGTTAGCATTACCTTTTCTCTTTAAAAAAAACCTACAAACTTCTGGGTTAATTGAATCCATTAACATCAAAACATAATTGCACTGTGAGAAAATAAGATTCAAGAAACTTAATAATGAATATTTTCCTAAATCAGGAAATGATTTCCTGGTACAAAAAAAAAAATTGCCTCCTAGTATAGGAATGCTTTGTTTAGTGATAGATTTTTCTTAAGCAATACCACATCTCCATCCAGTCTCCTGAGACAGCCAACAATCTTTCAGCACCCGGATGTGATGCTTTGAAATGGTCAGTGAGTATTCTCAACAACCTTCATGAAGTATCTGACACACAATTTGAGAGATTACATGGCTTCAGACCAGAACTTCTCATTTAATTGGCTAAACCCTTCAAGCGCTACATGCTACACATTGCTGTCCTCGAGAGAACCAATACTAACTCTTTCCTTTCTAACTCTAACATGAAGCTCTGGGACAGCAGATTTGGTGCTCAATTTATATAGACTCATCTTCTGGGGAGAGATCATATGACATTAGCTTCCTGGTGCTACAACCTAGTCAATGTATTTAATGATACTCTTCTTTTTCATGTTATTAAGTTATAGGGTGAAGAAGGCACATTTCTGCCTATTGTTGTCCTCCAAGGTGGTGGTATGACACACATGGCCAATGTATTGTCCTCTGTGTTTCTGTGATGCTTCCCCAGCTACTTCTCCATCTCCCTCTGGGGGTACCTTGTGGGTATCAGTACTTAAAGCCAGATTGTAGTCATAGCCTGCCATTGTGTGGGATGAATAAATGGACAAACTGGTTGGTGTATCCATGTGATTCATTTATTTCTACTGAGCAACTTTCACTGCCCAATAATAGCACCCTAAGTAGGAGGATGCTCCTCCTACCCTGCCTCTAGACAAGTACATTACCAGGTGAATCACTCCCCAAGTGACAAAGAATTTTGTTCTCTTTTCATGACATACAACTACTGATACACTCTCCCATAGAATGATCAGAAGCAATGCTGAGAACTCCCACAATATTGAATCCTTTGTATTCCTACAATTCATAGCATGACCTATTCTCTCCTCTACACTAAATATAGACAAAATGCTTAAGAGAAAATAATAATTCCTTGAAAAATCACTCCTTGCTTTGGACAGTCAATCTAAAGCTAAAGGACTACACGGGTAAGGCAGACTAGCAACAGTAGAATTTGTACAGATGGACAGGTAACTTACTTGTATAAAATAATAAAAAGCAGTGATGCTGGGAAAAGCTAGCCAGATCATACAGATGACCCCATGAATGTTTGGAACTATGAGTAGAGGTAGGAGGAAATCTGGTTTGGGTCAAGAAGACAACTCAGAGAACCAAGAACAGCTCCCTGGGTATGCCTTAAATATCCTGTGACCATTAGGAACCACTTTACCTTACAAAGCTCAGCTCAAATGCTCCTTCCATTAGAAAGCCTATTCTGACCCCATCAGAAAGACCAAGGCATACACACTTTCCTTGCTACAATCCTATACATTTTCCACTAGAAAAGCATATCTGACCAGGGGTAATCTCATTCCCCAGGAAATCTTTTAACAATGCCTAAAGCAATTAAGGTTCTCACAACCGGAGATTGAACAAGGAGAAAGTGTTAGTGGGAGAGAACAAGAATATTCTATAGTATTACATTGCCTCTCCCCAGCAACAAAGAATTAATTGTCTGGCTCAAGATGATAGTAGTTATGATGCTGAAAATCTCTGCACTAAAACAAGGACCACCTTGGAGTGAGTAGCATGGGATTGGGGTTCAGTGAAACTAAGCTTACTGTGAAGTGTAGACCTCAGAAAAAATAACTGGGGAGAAGATCAGAAACTCTCACAAGGAGAGGAAATGCACATTAGGATTCAAAGCACAGCTGGCCCAGAAATGCATTTTGAAGTTGGAGGGAAGGCATGAGAGTGGGCACAACTATCTTGGGCCGGCTCCTGAGAACTCAACTACCTCAACCTCAAAGCTGGGGCAATAAATCAAAAGCAGGAAAAGTGGGGAATGGATACATTAAGGTTTGGATTAATCGTCTGCCTTCAATT